ATGATAGTTTGCTTAAAAACATAAGCTTGTTCAAACATCTTCACAATAATAATGGATAATACTGTTTCTAATTATTGAATGACATTTATGCAAAAAATAAACTAAAAATAATATTTCAAAATCAGAATTGGAAAGTTTTTTTTTTCTTCTTGCACATGGGTTCTGATTTCTGGGATAATTTTCATCAAAGTTTAACTCATATGATAATAGAAAAACAAGAACTCATCTACATGTGTGTGTCACAAGCATACTCTCTCACAATCTCTTCACTCATATGTCAAGTCCAACACATATTGACATTTTTAAATGATTTGTATCATATCATATCATAATGTTTTGTTTGATCAAAACATACAACAATTCAAATCATTTGAATAGTCTAATACAATTCTTTAAGACATGTTGATCTCAAAAACCTTAGTGAATAATAGATACTACAAGATGTTGTTTTACTTGCAAAATGCATGCAAAAATTACAAGCATCAGATTTCTATTATTAGATGACTGTAAAAAGCCACATACATTTTCATTGTCTTATATTGTATATATTGATGATCTTGATAACCAAATTTATAGTATGTTGGTTGATTTTTTGTTGGATATCCAAACAAATCAAAGTAAATAAAAGAATTGTATTTTTTTTGATTTACTTCAGTTGAACTTGAATAAATTTGTAGCGACTTGGAGAACTGGTTGGACTTCAACAAATTAACTTATCTGCAATTCACTGAATTACTTTGATGGAATGATACAAAATTTTTCCTCATTCTAGTATACTTTATAAGAATGTAGTTAGATTTTATTTAAACGTTCACAAATTTTGTTTTCATTTTGCATCTCATATTTTTCTTCAATACAACATTCTGATATCAATCAATCCGATGTCAACGGGTGCAAAAACAAGCTGAGATATTCATTTTAGATCCGCAATTTGAATATATCTATTAGGATATCAGAGTTGAATGTTTACATGAATTAAAAAAATAAAATATCATAGTTGAATCAAGGCAATTACATTCAACGTGTGTTTGGAAAATATAATACGACAAACTTTGAAATATTATGAATCTCTTTGACAACACACTTCAAACTTTCTGCAGCTCAATGATTAATCAATCCATTGAGAAGAGAAAATGTCATCAATTTCATATGACAAAGTTAGGTACTGCATCATGTATTTGATGACATGGACAAAACGTGATATTGCTTTCAAGACTAATCATAATAAGAAGATGAGACAATTATATATCAAACCCTGCGTAGATGCATGGAGAAGCATTGAATTGGATTTTCAGTTACTTGAAGAGATCTAAGTATTATGATATTTTGTTTGATGGTCTGTTAGACAATGCAAAATCTTTGCTTTGATATGTTGATGATGATTTTAGATATTATTTGAATAACTAGATTAAAAATTGGATATGTATTTATATTGTCTATGATATCATTAATTAGATATATACTTTGTAGAAATATGTACTTTAGATGTAACAAAAGCTGAATATGTAGTGACAATAGACAATAGAAGCAGTAAGTAAAAATATGTGGTTTGAAAGACTTATCGTTGAAATGGTATTGAAAAAAGAGTTTAATACACAAAGTGAAATGCATTGACATCAGCTATAATTTTATTATAGATGCAATTGTTGAAAAATAAATTGAGCTAATCAATATTAATGATAAATTCAATTCAACTGATGCGTTGATTAAAAAAATTCTTTTGAATCATATTAGTAAGTATTGTGCTACTTTGCAAATTTTTCATGAGTAGCATAAACCACTAGTAGTTTTGTTAAATTTATATATTTTTATTTTATCACGTTTATGCTAGGTTTTAGTTCTAGTTAGCTCTAGTTTAAAGAGATATATATGTTAGATTTTATTCTAAAATTTCATGTTGAATAATCATATGAATTATGTATATTACTTTTTCCACAACATGAGTTTAAGTGAGGATTGTTAGAATTAATTTATGTATGTTTTAACTAAGATCACCTTACCTAAATTAAGATTTAGATTTTGTTGTCACTATAAAGTGATTTCAGATTTGTGTGATTTTGTGGACATAGCGTGTATTGGCAAATCACATGTTGGCATATTTGTGTATTGTTGTGGATTTATTTTTTCTTTATTATTCATTCCAACGCTTCTTAGTTGCTTTGAAAATGAAGCAACAACACTCAAAATTTTGAAACACATAGCTAGGCCAGGCCATTTTCTACTCTAAACTTGGATTTATGTACAATAATCTTGACCAAGCGTATGACACTTTTTATAACTTGTTCTATCTAGCTTTGTGATTTCATTTTGTTCTAGATACTACTAGCTAGTAATATTAGCCAATATACTAGCCAGAGCTCAAGATGAATACACTATCCTTACTAGATCCCAATGCATGAGTTCCCATAGTAATTCTATCAATATAGAGCATTGCTTAGAACGAAGTATGTTTGATATCGATCCAAAGTACTCCTTCTACTTCATAATAAAAAACTTTGGCTATCCATGAGAATTGAATAAGAATATTCAAACTCTCGGGACTAGCAGAAAACCTTCCACCTGGCTTTAGCGAGCAGTATAGATGTTGCCCCGGATGAGCCTTGGGTTGAAGAAAGTGAAAATATTACTTCCGTTTTTTATTACAACTTTGTATCCTAAAGAGATGAAACTGATATTTGTTAAAATGTGTTGCTGTTGTTGTTGCGGTCCTAACGCGATGCAAAACGAAAGGAAGAAAGAAGACATAAAGCTAACAATTAAAAAACAGTTAAGAGTAAAGAAAGGAGAACCAATGCATTCTACCGAGTAATATTCAAGTTGTGACAATCAAAAGGGAGATCTCAAAGATAATAGGAGTAACCAACTTATATTACAGAGTGATCTGAGTGCAAGGAGGATGGAATGGAAAGGAAAACTGAAGATGATGAAGAAGAATGTTACCGGGAATTGAATGGGCTAGGCACACGAGTGCACGGAGTATGTGGCCTTCGGAATGACTCCAAATATAGTACAAATTTGGCTAGTTATCCTCAAAGTATAGGTATATCCTCTTGCTAAGATGCTGAATGGTGGGAAAATATAAAGTTCAATTGAGACCCTTCAAAAATCAAATAATTTCACAAAGGTATAACCATACGGGAGACAGTTTGATCACATAAGAAACATGTACTTCCCTGAATGCGCCAGGAAGATGAGGCTGATGCGTGGGACTCTGCTACATCACGCGATGAATTTAGTCTCTGTTCTTCAATTATGAGAGAGATTAGGCGTATCTACTTTGAGAATATGGCTTACTTGAAAGATATCTCACATATAAGTGATTGCATATCTCAGTATGATACTTATTTCAAAGTCAATAGGGGTTTCAAAATAGATTCATAAGAAGATATACGTTTTGAATTCCTTCTGATGTGGGCCAACAAATCATTTCATTACCGTGTTTGGAACCCTGTAATTAGAACATAAATTCACACCAGGATTTTAGGCAGGAGTACTGTGGAATTTATAGAAGTCTGACCTTGAATGGACCTTGAGGTTTTTATTGCTTTCGGCTCATGAACAGTTTGAACGTATGTCCAACTCGGCGTCTTCTTATCTACATGATTCCTACAAGAAAAGATACTTCTTATAATTGAGTTCATAGATCGCATTCTAAAGGTAGATTGAAAAGGTAAGGTCTAATATTTCGCTAGAGCTGTAGTTCTCTGATTACTTCGCTTGTGCCTTCACCAATGGAATTAACATTGTTTGCGAGTTATTTCACTTCACCCCAGATCGATGCCGAAACTGAAGCTCACCGATATTCGTCGTTGAACTGTCTTAAATCGATATCTAAAATAATGTTTTCGGCGATCAGCCATTCAAGGATAAGTACCCTTCAGCCTTTTGTACATGCAGATCCATGTCCTGATTTCATGGACCATTGTTGTGAAGGCACAGGCATTTGTATCCAACTAGAATTAGGCGGCATAAGCTTACAAACATACTCAAACTGTATGGAAGAAACTGTAATAGTGATGCCACATTTACACGATGCTAGGCACAAGAATTGTCAATGCACAGATAGAGGGAAAGAGGGACACTTGTCATGTGTATTCAGTTGAAGCCTGCGGTACAAGCCTTCGGATATAGCCAAATAGAGTGGGGGTGCTTGTAGGGTAGCCATGTAATTAGTAAAGTTAAGTCAGTACGAGCAGTAGTGAAGATTTCCTAGACTGCAAACAGGGAAGATACTGTAGAGTACTGTGATCGCATCATTGTGGTGCGAGTGATGGGCGCGAGCAGGGGCTGGGTCCAGCTTTACCAGAGTAAGCTGACAATCTACCTGCAAAAAATATTAGTACAATGTCATTACAAAAGGCGCCAGTTATGGCGACTGAGTAGATTCGATGAATCGAGCAGATTCAGTAATCGAGCTGTTAAAAGCGAGGATGTGATCCACGATGAACTATTTTATTACTGATCTCTTATTGTTGACAGGAAAGGGAGAGATCCGAAGTTATGCACGGTCAATTATCGGCTCTTCACGGTGATGTTGCCCGTATACTGCGAAGGAGTTTGCTTGACAATCTGACTTCAAGCGTAGAGGATTGTCACAAGCAATCAAGGTCTGCGTAGAAGGACAAGTGTCTTCCGGATACGATCAGTCTTCTATGTGTCTGTTTGTTTATTACACACATGCGACAAGTAAGACAAGGGTAGCTTTCTGAGACAGGTTGGCCAAATCGGACCTGTAGCATCTCAAACCGCCCTGAAAAGACAAGACAAAATGGACTGAGCATTGAGTATCAAGGCGCGCCAGTGGCATCAGCGTCACTTCGTTAGAGATGCAGATGACACTCATGCACAATGTTTTGTGAAGCATTTGTTGATCTAAGTGACCTCATTGCCTCCACGAACCACAAGTTTCACTTCTGTTCATGTCTGAATGATGAAGAAGAGAGCTGGAAGACAAAAAATAACATACGCGATAATGCATCCGAGACAGGTGGATAAAAGTGACCAATATGCTTCGCACATCCGATGTCATTGGGGGTTTGATATTGGAGATGTTACATAGGGAAGTGCTTGAAAGCTTGACATAACACTCACGGGAGTCAAGGTTTGCGACTAAACGAGCCGATTTCATGCCTGCGGACTTTGACACTCACCCTGATCGGGATAAATAGAAAACAAGTGAACGCCCGATAAACAAATCGTAGACTAGAACTAGTATGCTGTGTGCACAGGATCTATTCATACAGTGTCGGATATCTGGGGTGCCAAGTCATGACAGCGATAACACTACCAACGTTTCATTCGTGAAACATTGAAAGTTTAGGGGAGCACTACGGTTGATAAAATTGCTGAACAAGCCCTAAATTACGCAAGATCAAATCTGCCAGTTCTGGAAGTTAAATCGTCGCTCCGGACTTGAGGCTACAATGAGGTCCGAGTACCAATATTCATATGGCACCCCACCTGTTGACTGGTAAACGCTTCCCTTCCATATGTCTGTTCATCTCCCGAGAAAAGGTATGCTCCTAAACGCCAAATAATGGTAGTCCGATTTTAACAAAAGAATAAACGAGGGCTCCTGTGAATATGTAACTATCAACTCGATCCAAAATTCCGCCTGCAAAAAAATTTGAGAAAAAGAAAACAAGCAGGTCAAATGTCACATGTGCAGGAAGCCAACTGAGCGAACATTCTCATTAGCATCGTGTGGAATCGGCATAGACTCGTCGGATAACAAGGAAACTTTTGGACAAACAGCAACACATATTCAAAACCACTTTACCATGGCCAGGAATCAGTTGTCCAGAATCCTTCACGCCTGCATCTCGCTTCATCATGGATTCCGTCAAGTCACCAAAGAGGGATGACATGAAAACGAGAACAGCAAAAACTGCTGAACTGTTGGCACAAACACACCCGACGAAATTAGTTAACTCACAAAACTAGAAGCAGATACTATATCTGAGCGCTATGAAGAGATGAAAATAGGCTCCTCCGTGTGGTAAGTTTTACCCTGAGTAGGGAAAACGAGAGGTTTATGGACCGATTGGCTTAGCGTGTTTGGCATCAGGCCTATGACTTTGTGTTGCAATGGACTTTTGACTTTCATTCATTAGCGACAGTAAAGCATACAGTTCTCAATGCCGACACGTCCACTAATAAGACACTGCACAAACCTCAGTATGGAAGAAGGCCACTGAAACAGTTTCGAAAGCAAAATTGTCACTGCAATAGTAGCACTCAACCCAACTGCAGCTCCTTCCAACGTCTTCTTCGGACTAACAGCAATTAGAGGTGTTTTACCAAAAGCCTGCACGACAAAGATCAACATATAAGCTCGCATAAATGATCGGACAAGTCAAGCCTGCTCTTCGCATCTGCCTGGATTTCTTAGGTTAACTTCAAGGCCACACAGAGACAAAGAAAAATTCATACGCAGAGTGTGCTCAATAATATTTGCCTGTCATAGTCTGAAGACCCAGCGCCCCGGGTCAGCAATGCTATTAGTAACCGATTGGGAAGAGAAACTAGTAATAAAGATAAGTGGAGGAGAAAGAGGGAAGACATTTTCAGCAAAAGGAGGGTCTCTCTAAGAATGCCCTCAAGAAATGAGGTTCGTTTGGAGCTTCCCATTTCAACCAAAGACGTCTTCACTAAAAGCATATCAACGTTAAAGTATCGAATCTATAACATGTATATTTATCTTGCGAATGCCATCAAACAACTGGGACGTGCAAAATTTCTCTATGTTTTGAAGTGCGCTGATCCGCGAAAGATAACGACTTATACCTTGCCTCCAACGAAGGAGAAGGTGTCTGCCGTGGCAATTGCACTGCATGAGATTATGGTGGCTACTAAACCCACCGTCCAGTGTGCTTGTCCTCCTAACAGAATAGGCCACCCTTGTGCTATTCCTATCACCCAGCAGCAGGACGAGTGCCTGGATCAGTTAAATCAGAGCAAGAGAAACAAATACTTTGAACTCAAATCGGCACATTACGTCAAGCGTATTGTAAACACAAGTATTCTCCACACAACTGGAAACATTGGAAAGTGATAACCGCAAAAGATTAGAATTCTTACTGGTGTTAATTGCCGGAATGGCAAGACCACAACGCAGTTTTATCCAGAAGCTGGGCAGATAGCCACAGTAAAATAGGCCAAAAATAGCACTCGTCAATTGAGAGAATCGAGGTCCCCTTTGAAGCAGCAACACAGTTGCAAGGGCAAATGCAGCTGTTGTGACAACTGCACCCATCCGTCCACCATAATACCTGCCAGAGTTTTGTTTCAATAAGTGGTATTTCCATGGCTTGACCGTCATAAGAGAGATCACGTGCAAAACAAAAACATCGTTTGCTAATATTTTGAGCCAAGTTCTAAGTAACCCTTGTTCCAGATCGAACTGTAAGTTCGAGGGAGCGGCGGATCTCTTTACTACTCATAACCAACTTTAGCTACACAGCAAGAATAGAGTCTGACGGTCGAATGAAGGTATCATACGCTTACAATGTCATGATCGGCATAGCCGAACAGATAAGGGCGCAAAATTTCGCAGCAACCTGTGGTGGTGGAGTCATCCCGCTTGCTGTATTCCCTTTACTTCTCACCAGCTCAAAATACTCTCCGGTTGCCACCCAAATGGCACATGAGAACGCTAAAGTAAACACCCATCCGCCAGCCAAAACGATTCCTAAAAATCCAGCTCCAATTCCAACTCCGAACATAATTCGATTTTTCAGCTGTTTGCCCTTGTTTTGCTGCTGCTCATTCTGAACTGTACCATTACTTTTACCATCGCTTTGCTCCTGCTGTTCATTTCCAGCGGTAGCTTTATTACTCTCTTCGCCTTCCAGCTTTGGCTCGTCTAAATGTTGGGCAGCTTTTTCACTCCACCGATGCACCTGGATCGGAATCACTCTTTGGGTTAATGTGGGCCAAGTTTTCTACTTGGTGGGAATGAAAAATATTTGCATTTCCAAAAAATGTAAATTTAGGTCAGAGCCTATTCAATCCATTCTCTGCTTTCAGTGACCATTCACAGCACTGCCCTCGTCCGTGGGGGATAAACTCGAGCAGTAAGACAATCTTCATGTAATACATAAGCTGCAGGACACACAACTCAGAAGACGGCTTTCGAGGTACGGATGTCCCCAGGGACTCGTCTAATGGATTTACAAACCAAGTATACAACGTACAAGTTTACTAAGTACTGCAGTGCCACCATAACTCTGACATAAGATCCATGGCAAATCAACTAGATTTGATCCCTTGATTATGTAAAATGACAAAACTACTTCTCTTGTACTCAGATTGTAGCCGTAGTAGGATGCTATCGAGGACTTCGAAGCTATCTGATCGTACTCAAGTATCAACAGCGTTGGCTCATCATCCTGGCGCCAAGTTACAACGTAAATTTTTTTTTCCAGAAACTTTCCTCCCAGTTTGAAACCCTCAAAAGATAGACCCTGGTTAAATTTCCTCCACACACCTACGCTACGGCTATAGCAAAAGAATATTAAAGAAAAGTCATCATCAATATAAATCATTGTATATCACGTGTTACCTCTTCAGAACCCTTTGAAGACGTTCAGACTCTCATTTAGAAATGCGAACTACAAGATTTCACCCGGAAATACGAGCAGACAATAGCAGCGACAGACACTTCAAACCATACACATCGTTATGACAAACAACGCATTTGCAAAGTAGTGAGATAGAGGAGAAAAAACCTCGGCGGGGAGCTCATTCTCCTCGACAGGTCCTGCATCTGCGTTCAAAACTCTGCAGACGCGACTGCCAGTCCCATTGGCACAAAATTGGTCTCCTGCCGATAAACTCAATGGTGTCCTGTTTCGACGAGAAGTACGAATTCCTGAGCGCCGGCATGTGGGGCCCCGAGCAGACGAAAGAGGTGAAAATGGTAGAGAACTTTGGTCCAATGGGGGTCTTGCAGGAAACACTAGACACAACCTCTGCAGAGACAACTGGCAAGTGCTATAGTGTCTTGAGGAAATTGATAGGGAAGAGGCACTGGGCACCGGGGAGGAACGAGGTCGAGCAGGGGATGTTCCTGGAAGCACATGGCTAGTCGCAACTGACGCAGGGAGGGATGCCAATTGCAGCCCTGCCGAAACGGAAACCCCCGCAGAGAAGCATGCAGCTTTGCTTCCATACATTTCAATCCTCCTCCCTTGCACACAATCCTCCTCCCTTCTTTGCACCACTGCGTTTCACTCCAATCCTCCTTTCGTCCTGCTCAAGCCCATCCTGAGCCACAGACCTAGTTCCTCACTCACACATTTCCCCACTGCTCCTTCCGCATTCCCCTGCGTCCACCCTCACTGTCCGCTCCCCTCCGCTCTCCATCTCCCCTCCGGCGCAATTTCAAATCAATCTCGTTCCATCGCTACACCTCCACCTCCCCTCCCCTCCCCTCCCTCGCCCGACCTTGGCCTTCCGCCAATCGACGGAATCAGCCCCGCGTACCACCACCTGCATACACAAGATTCAACGCCGATTCTCTCGCGTCCCGCAGATGAAAGAGAGAGAGAGAGAGCAGAGCAGCACAAGCAAGCACTTCCACTCGCTCGCTCGAAATCCAGAATCTCGATTGCAAACCGAAATGTAGACGGAGTGGAGCAGATGAGGCTCATGAGGAGGAGAGACGCGGCGTGCCTCGCTCTCGCTTTCCGCTCGCTACCGCTATCTTGCCCGCTAGTTTAGACCCCGCGGGACCGGCGACTCCGCCCTCCAAGATTCCTCCTCCCGTCCTCCCCTTGCCTCCTGAGGCGTACGTGCTGCGTACCTACCTGTCTATCTGCTCGGAGCCCAGTTGGATAACGGAGCTCCTCCGTGTCCGTCATCCGTGTCCACATGGATGGCTTATGTTGACCGTGCCAGCCGAAGCAGAATCTCCTCCCCAGTCTGCATCCGTCTCGAGTCAAACAAATTCTCCTTCGCAGTCCCGAGTACTCGAGCGCTCAAGTTGACTCGAGCCCGGCCTCCGAATTGCCCCGGCGCTCGTGATGGGCCCAGAATCCTCAATGTTTCTCCTATCCCCGTTACGGGACACCTCGTCCGCAGTCGGCACTGGGCCCGGGCTCGCATCGCATGGCAGCCCCTCGGATGGGTCATGGTGGGTCACAATCGGCAGCGGAGTGGATGGCTGCACCCGCAAGGCGAGTTATGAGATGGTCTCCGAGGTTCGTGCGCAGCTTCCGTGCGACGTATATTCTGCTCGTCGTATCCTCCACAGACTTCGAAGGGGGTCAGATATTGGTGTTTGTTTTCGATAGAAGTCTGATGCGCTGGAGTGACAGCTCTGTCCCTTCTTCAAGCGCGCTTTGGGTTCTGTCCATGTGCACGGCTATAAATTCGCTTCACTGATGTCGATGATGATCAAGTCTTTGCAAACTTTGTGCCCGGAAAAATACCTTCGATCTGGTCCGATGAGGAGAGAGGATCTTCCAAACAAACTTCAATGCTCACTTCCTCCTCGCGGGGGCTCCTGATGGATGAATTTTAAGCTGGAGGAGTTTTACGGCAGAGAGAGCACAGGAGAGAGCAGATTCAGTAGGTACATTTGGGCTTCCTCGACTGTAGGAAGAGTCGACGAGCCGATTCCTTCCCTGTGAGTCGTCTGTCCGTGTAAGAAGGCAACCTCGATCATCTTGTGCGCGCAGCGAGTGAATAAGTGGATGCATCTCGTGCGGTGTGAAGCACGGTCTTTGAACACCACCGTAATCGAAAATGCAATCGGTGTGAGAAGACGAGAGGATAAGACTTGAGAAGAAAAGAGTACGTCTTCTCACAAGGACCAACACGTTTCCAGCGTGTTCTTCATATGTTCCAAGTGTCATGAACACGAACCGACCTTTGACAGGTGAGAGGTTCTCGTACGTACCACTAGTCGGATGGATGAGTTACAGCGAATGGTCGAGGCAGGTGGACGAGGTTTGATACTAACAAGCAAGCATCGTTTCTCGAATGGATCACTCAAACCAAGCACCAAGCCACAGAACTCTAAGCCAAAGGGACCACTGGCTCTGACTGCATGAAAACACAACGGACTGCAAGAAATTCTCCACTTGCAGAGCGAATCTGCCCTCAACAGATTACTCGTAATCTGGTGAAAAAAGCAAAATGGTGAATGGCCAATTAGCCAAGTCCTTTGCTGATACGCAATTTGGATGCAAAGTGCAGAGACCACATATGTTCGTTGCGTGCCTATTGTACAACCTCATGCGAATGAGACCAGGGCCATTTGAGGTACCTAAAAGACCTAAAATACAAACACTGATCATCTTCTTTTCTTAGGGGACTTCTCTAGAGATTTCCTTTTCTTTTTTGAATCTCTATCCCTTGACTCTTTCCTCCGCTTCCTTTCTTTTCTATGCTTCCTCCTCTTGGATTGCGAGTCTTCGTCTTCCGCTTCATCCGCAGTGGAATCCTTGCGCTTGCTCTTCAACTTCTTACGCTTCCAATCTCTTTGCATATCCTCAGGCAGGGAAGGCCCAACCTCTGGGCCAGCAATGCGCTCTTCCCAGTCTTCTTTGACACGAACATCCGTCACAGAAGTCCTCCCTGGCAATATTTCTTGTGATATCGGCAGGTATGGTCCTGTTTCATCCATTCGTGACCCCACGGCACCCCTTCCACGTTTGACCCTAAACAAAGTGCACAACGGAAAATTCAATAACGGATTTACCAATGTCATCTCTCTACCGTCAAAGTCATTTCCTACTGTGTCTATTCTCGAAGCCAATAACCCGTCTTTGAAGACTGCAAAAACAGTCGAACTCTCGTCTCGAAGATGTCTATGATCCGCCAATACCATCACTTGCTGGGGAAAAACTATTTGTTCGGAAGCCACGATTCAGAGACAGAGAGATAAGCCTAATGGCCAAGGTGGCGTATGCGAGACAGAGCTCGGGAACACATCAAACGGATGAGCAAAATCGAGCAGAAAGACAATACACGTGCTGTATGTATTACAGAGTAAAACATAAAGTAACGTCATTGATTACTAGACCAGACTAGAAGAACAGAGAGCATGCTGCTAGGAGAATGCAATTACCTTCTCTGTGAAAGTGACTGCAACAAAAAGGTTCAAACAAGACGCAAAAAAAACCTAACAGCACTTGGAAACTCGATTGATCCAATACTGTATTGACGTGCGCACCTCCCCACAGGGTACATGAATTTCAGATAGGTATAAACTTCAGGTCCACAAGGGAATGTCTCCGAAACAAGGGCAGAGCAGGAGTCTACTGGACAACTAGACGATCATGGATTACAAAGAAGCATGATTCAAATTTGAGTTGGTGGTACCTAGATCGTAAAAATTCCTCGAGCTCCTCATCTCCCAATCCATCTTCTCTGATATCTTCGATAACAGAGTCATGGCTACTATTGTCTCTTTCGAGGTGAAAATCTTTCCTGGGACCGTCATGTCTTCTGCTTCTTTTCTGTTCGTATTCCAGCTCCACTGACCTTCGCCGCCACATCTCGTTCACTTCAACAATCCTATTAGCTGAGGAGGCAAAATTCACTTCGTCAGTGAACATCCACGCATCCAATTAAATCCCTGAGAAATATTTGAATGACAATTCATCCCACAAGAAATTCCCCTTTGCAGCGACCAAATTCACTTTACTATAATCCTCCTCTGAGAAGCATGGAACAAGATACTCATTCACTAGTGATTGCGGAAAAATCATAATTACATTGCTGAATGCTGCGGACAGTGGCCTGAAGAAACTGAGGATTAGGGCGACCCCGGACGGCCGGCTTAGCCAAATAAGCAGCTACACCGTCGCGTTCTGCCTGGGTGCGTAAACGACTGGCTTCCTCCATGATCACAGCCGCCAACTCCCGTTCAGTGTCAGGATCCATCCCTCCCCCGGTACGCAGATGGATTAAAGTGAATTGCATTCACCATTCGCCTTCTCTTCTCCGCGCCTCTTCCCCCTTCCCACACGCAATCTCCACTGGCCTGAAGAAAACCCATCCATCCCTTCTAAGTTCCATCACTCTCCCTCACCTCACCTCACCTCCTTGAATCTTCTTCTGCCCTACGTACCGTGCGACCACAACACAACTCCTCCTCCTCCTCCGAACCCTTTCGTTCGGCTTCCATATCCCTTCAGAGGAACTATCACAGCATGAAGTGCACCGCTACTCTCTTCCAATGAGCCACCGCCCGCCCTCCCTTCGCCTCTCCCTCTCTCTGCTGCTCGTCGGTGTGAAGTGTTGACGACGTTAGACGACACTGACAAGTTGTTCCCACGCACGCTCACACGGTCTCCTCTCCCGACCCGGCCTTCCTGCCTCGATCCCAACGAACGACAACCACAAGCGACGTCGCTCGCGGACAGTCCATCCCATTCTCAGACAGCCACCAGAATGGCGGTGTGCCCAAATTCCACCCTTTTCCGCAGAAGACCCGCATGTCAAAGGGAACTCTTTTCCATGTCGCTTCATTCCGGCACAGCATTTAATCAGCATGGTTGCGGCCGAAAATCTCTGTGGCTGTTACTTTTCTCTGTGGCTGTTTACAGTCGAGACTTATCGTTTCAATATTTCGTACAGCCTCACGATCTTTGAAAAAGTAGTTGCCATTGAGATCTAGTGCTCAAATTTTTTATAATAAAATGTAATACAAATGTCACTAATAAAAAAATTTCACACAAAATTTCCTATTTTGAAAAAAAAAAAAACAAATAATGAATTCTGGACATATATACTTGTTATATGTTTGTAAATCAAAATTGATAAGCTGATAAGAGAAAATTGAACTTATTCAATTTTTTTAGTAGAAGGTTTTACACCGCGTCATTATTCAAAGTGTATACGATAAAGTTGTAATTGTATAACTCAGAAGAATGGGTATTTCCGATTTATTTATATAAGACACAACAATGAAATCAATATTTTTTATTATGTGATTTTTTTACAACAAATTTCCAATAAGTCAAGTAAATTTAAAAATTAATTTTTTTTTCAAAACATAAAATTTCATATAATTAAGAAAAATATTTTGTCATTATTTTTTAATCTGATTTTCTTTCACAAGTTTAAAATTCATAAAAAAAAATTTCATGAACTAGAAAAAAAGCTATACACATTATGAATTAGCTCTAACAAGATTTAAAGTGAATAATGTGCTTTAAATTCTTTATCTATGTTATAAATGCAATAATAATCATGAAAAAAATGATTTTGGTTTAGGATATTTTTATTTTAAATTAAATATGATATCCAATTATCACTATGAAATTTCTCAAAAATTAACTTTTATTTCATGATTTAAATAACTTTATTAAAAAGTGTTCAACGACTATTTTCAACATAAATTCAACAATATTTGTTAAATTTAAGTTTGAAATTATTTTTGGAATTTATATTATATTATTTTTGAATAAAAAATTCTCATTTAAAGCTTTTTTCAAATTTGATAAAAAAAATTATTTTATTGTTTTATTTATTTATGTAATAAAATTTTAATCTATTTCAATAAAAATGAAATTTTATAATAAAAAGCAGGCTTTTTGAAATTTTCAAATCAATGAACAATTGAAAGTCATATCATGCATAATTAAATTTTAAATTTTATTGATTTTTGAAAAATTCCAGAAAATCACAAATCATTGATATGTCTTTTGCATTATTTATTTATCAAACACATTTCAAATTTTTGGTAAATATTTTGATATTTATTTTATTTTAACATAATATTATTAATTTCATATTATAGATTAAATATTATATGAATCAATTAAAGTTAAAATTTTGATTATTTTATCAAACATCATATAGTTTTGAAGCTATGTTTTCAAAATATTAAGTATTATTTAATTATTTTGTTATGATCATTAAAAAACACATTCAATCAATGAACTGCAAATTAAATTGGAAAAATTACTTAAAATAAATATTATGTGACACAAATAGCTTATACACATGTGAGATTTAACATAGAGAGCGGTGTTTAGACGGCAGATAGCGAGGCATGCCGAGATTTAAAGTACAAAAAAATATGACATGAACAAATTAGACATTATCTTCACTAGATACTCTAATATGAAAGTCTTTACTGAAAACATATCACATTTGCACAATGAGATATATACTCGATGATTCCATCGGAACCCAAATTGCTTACTTAATTGCTTAAAGTTTTGTTTCATCCAATGAAACCCCATAGTTCTAATATCGACACACGGTGCAGACGGTGGAATTCAATCGTAGTGTCTTCTTCAACAATTTGTTTCCTCGTGTGTGTATGAACTTTTTGCACTTATAGCATTGAATAGGTAGTAAAGTCCAAGTCTAAAACTTTCTTCGCTTATTGAATTGAAAAATTGTTGCAACAATTTTTCAATTCAGTATGCAAAAGAAAAATTCCCTATTGCAACAATTTTTCAATTTAGTATGCAAAAGAAAAATTTGGAGGTACTCTTATTTGGAAGAAATTTTTCCCCGATACAATCGCAGAGAACTTTGATAATTACAAACCTGACTTGTGTTACTCCCAAAGCCACGACTTTGAAAGCGTATTTCAGAAAGTTGATCCATTGTAGATCAGCAAACGAGATATACCTTTCTAATGATTGGTACGGAGCAATCAAAGAAAAAGCAAAGTCAAACATGATTATCCAATTCACTGCACCTTGTACACTTTTGAAAAAACAACTTATGGGAATCTGTACAACTCATTCTAAATTTGCTTTGTGTACAAAAACACGTTTTAAAAACTTTGCGACAATGTGCCGTTGGTGAGATCCCATCGAATAAAACAAAACTTGATGTATACCATCATGTAAATATCTCTTTGCAAAAAAGATATTTTCAAACAATAAAATATTATTAATATATGATTACATGTCAAAAAGAACTGGTTTTACAATTGATTGTCAATTGATCATATTCGACTAATCAACACAAATGAAATTATATGCTGTAATGAAAGCATAACAGTTTTCAGCAGGAAAATTGGACGGATCATTTAAATCATCGAGTCTAAACTAATAACTTGAAAAACTCTAGACATACTTACAACAATGCAACTACTCTTATGCTTGCAAATGAAAAGTTAATGGCAGTGGAATGAACAAAAAAATGCTCCAAAATTAACATGAATATGACAAAAACTGATCAATCGTAATTAGCCATCCAACATCGTTCTGTGTGGAGTACTAAGTGCACATTGAGCTTATCGAAAACGGTGACCACGTCAATGTTGTAGGGAAAATGTATCAATACTAAACTTCTTAGAGCTTTGATCAAGCTATTATTGATGCAGATCTACTACACTTAAGATTGCAGACAAACTAAGAATAAAAATAATTACGTTCATATGCCCACAACATATAATTAGAATAATCTATTTTAGAACATGGGTGAAAGTGATTTGTAGGTTGGGTCTCATCAGTTTAAAACGATACTTGTTGGATTCAAAAAGCTATTTGTGTTGCACATGAATACCATAAAATCATTTTCTTGATTAAGTTATATCAGCATAAATCTTATTTTTTAGCACTTTTATTCATTAATATATTTTATAAGTATGTAAATGTAGGCTAAAAACATTTTATATTATGTGAATACTAAATTGATAAAAATATTTGATTAAAATCAATTAAGATGTTATATTGATTATATGTTTTTATGTTATTGTGTTATAAAATTTTTACTATTTATTATTTTACTTAAAAAAATATCATTGACATTCATTTTAATATATTTCATTATATATTTCAATTTATATAATTGAAATTCCAAATATTTAGTCAATTTTATATTTTTTTTGAGAAAAGACAAAAACTGAAATGTGTTGATTTTAGCGATATATTGATATTTATTTATTTTTAATTACCATTTTAGAATGAAATATGGATACATTGTTCTTGAAAAAAAATATTCTTTCTATCTTTTACTTTTACGATCCATATATTATATCAATTAGCATGAGATAATTTATACACTGATCATATCTGCAGGAATTTGTATGAAAATATAATTTGAATTCATGTTACACATACAATACTTTGTATTTCTACAAATATCGTAGAAATAAAATGAAATACAAATTTTAAAAATTGATTGAAAAAAATGTGATTCACCTCGATGAAGCTACATCAAAGAAAACAAAAGCTGTATCATTAAATCCAGAATTGTGAGATATATATATATATATATATATATATATACACACACACAAACATATCTCAAATGTCTAACGCGCACACATAAAAAACAAAGTAGGAAAGCACGACGCAGATTGAAAATGTTTGCTTCTTCAAAGTGAATAATGCATACGGAAACACCACAGATTGTAATGAGATAAAATATTAAAACTGTCAATTTTGGTCAAATTTTAAACTAGGTTAGTAAGTAGCATAGCCTAACTAGCTTAATATAGAGTATTAAAACAACTCAGTAAAATCAAGACATGAATTAATTCATGACAATAGAGGATTATGACCAATTGTAATATATATAATAATGGTATAATAACTAGCTTAATTATTGGGTATTAAAGATATCAAAATTAATCTCTCATACTGTCACTTTAACTCTTGTCTAATATCAAAGTCAATGTGTCTAATAATTATATAATTATCGTGTGAAAATTTCTAGAAGTAAACTTAGAATATACTTTTTTTCCAAAGTGGAGCTAATTAGCTTTAGTCAAACTTGCAAAGTAACTTAATGTATACTAGATCTTTCAAATGTATAAATCTTGTTCAGTCTAGTAGGCACATTGGGTTTACTGATCATCTTGATTTGTCAAAGATTCTTATCGAGAATTCCATCTCATGATGATGAATCTTGGAGGTTTTCACTTGTGACGCATGTTTCAATTGAATCTCTTTTATGTTCATATTAAAAAAATTTAATCTTTTGAAATAATGTAGATCGTGTCAATCACTAATAAGATAACCTTTAATGTAAGAATATACACCTTTGCTAACAAATTAATCATCTTAACCTTAATCAATTCACAAAAATATTTCAACTATGATTATGAAAAAGCGCGTAGAGGTAGCTCTAACATAAAATCATGTAATTCGGTAAACATCCAACTCCAGAGCTCATACCATGAGTTAAATTAACTGAAGTTAATCAAGAATAGAGTTAACTGAAAACACAAATAATATTAGATAACGTAAACAAATTTAAATTTTATACAAAAACAATTTTTGTAATATTATAAAATTATATGAGACTGA